AAATGAAATTAAAATAATTTAAAATTAATTTAAATGTTATTTAAAAAATTTTTTTTCAGTAACAGGAAGAAACATGAACTGCTGAGGGATAAATTTAGTAAAATATATGCAAGACCTGTCCACAGAAACCCATAAAACATTGCTGAGAAAAAGAAGACCAGTGAAGAGATACACCATATTCATCTTTTAGGAGACTTGATATTGTTTAACTTTCCAGGCTGATCTATAGATGTAGCACAATACCAATCAAAATCCCATCAAGCTTTTTTTGTAGAAATTATATTCTAAAATTTATACAGAAATCAAGGGCCCCTGGCTGGCTCAGTTAGTACTCTTGTGACTCTTAATCTTGGGGTCGGTCATGAGTTAAGCCTCGCATTGGCTGTAGAGCTTACTTTAAAAGAGAAAAAAAATGCAAGTTTAAATTTATACAGATATCAAAGGATAGCCAGAGCAATCTTGAAAACAAAAGTTGGAAAACTTATTCTACATGATTTTAGGTTTTTAAAGTAAAGTTGCAATATGGTATAATGTTAGACCTGTAGCTCAATGCAACATACTAGAACTTCTAGAAATTGACCCGCATGTATATGGTCAGTTGATTTTCAACAAAGTTGGTAAGGTAACTCAATGAAGAAAGGGTATTTTTTCAACAAATGATGCTGAAACAACAGGATATTCATATGGGGAGAAATGGGTAATAACTAAGTATAAAAAGCTAAAACTATAGAATTTTAGAAGAAAACATAAAAAGCGCTTGCTTTTGTAACCTTGCATAGGGAGATTTCTCTGGACATAGAAAACCGTAAAGGGAAAAGTTGTCAGATTTATTAGTTTTGCTTTTCTGAAAACTCTGTTAAAAAAATGAAAAAAGCAAGCCACACTGGGAGAAAATATTTGCAAACGCATGTCTGATAAAAGACTGCTATCTAGAATATATAAAGGACTCCTCTAATTCGATCAAAGAAAGACAACCTCCTTCACTCCCCTCAAAAAATAAAAATAAAAAACCACTCAATTTAAAAACAAGCTAACAGGTGCCTGAGTGGCTCAGTCAGTTAAGTGTCTGACTCTTGATCTCAGCTTAGGTCTTGATCTCAGGGTCGTGAGTTCAGGCCCGGTATTGGGCTCCACACTGGGCGTGTAGCCTACAATCAATCAATCAATCAATGCTAAAAATTCAAATAGTTTTTGAAAGAAGATATATGAATGGCAAATAAATACATGAAAAAATGCTTAGCATCATTAGTTATCAGAGCAACGCCCATTAAAATCTTAATGCATTACTGCATATGCATTCAAAGACTAAAATTGAAAAGACAGTTTCAATTATTGGTGAGATTATGAAACTATGGAATTCTCATACATTGCTGATGGGAATGTGAAATGACAGAACCACTTTGGAAAAATTTGCCAGTTTCATATAAAGGTAAAGATACACTTAACCATATCCAATAATTCTACTCCTAGGTATTTTCCCAAGGCAGATGAAAAACTTACGTCAATTAAAAAGAAATAATCAGAGTGAAAGAAGCCAAACACAAAATGGTACATAATATATGATGTTATTTATATACAGTCCTAAAACAGGCAAAGCAAATCTATGGTGACAGAAAGCAAATCAGTGGTTGCCCTGGGGTGGAGGATCAACTGCAAATATGCACAAGGTAACATTTTGGGATGGTGGAAATGTGCTATATTTGATTGTTGTGGTGGTTACGCAGGTGTGTACATTTGTCAAAATACATCATACTATATTTTTTACATGGGTATATTTTATAATATGTAAATTATACTTTAATAAAGTTTTCTTTATAGCACAGTCTTCTGGGACTTTTTTCCCCCTTTTCCCCTAAATTCAGACATTGTCTATTCTTCCTCTAAATTTACTGTAGAATTTTGTTTGGTCTTCTCTTACTCCTTTCTTCTTCTTTCATTTGTCTTCTTTACTAAATTATAAGCTTTTTCGTCTTTTTTTACCGCATAGCACCTTGCTCATTGTAACCTTTCAGTATGTTTGTTGCACTGAGTTGATTTGATGCAAAGAAGGAGTTACCAGCTATTGCTTTGATTACAATTCTGATGTTTGAAAAAAATTACAGCCCCAGATATTAGCAAGACAAGGCTCTAAGGCAGCTAAGAGTTAATATTAAGCATCTTTAAGGCAATTCTGATTTTACACTTTAGGGCAATCCCGTATTATATTCTATGGCAATGGGTGGTGAACACATGGAAGATGAGTACTTCTGGGCCCTGTGGGAAGTTTTTAAGGGAAGACACCCTGTGCTAGTTGCAGAGGCATGGAGGACAATGGATTTGATTTTAATAATGAATGAAAATGCAAAAGAATCAAAGAAACTTAGTGCTAGACGGTACCATGGATGCCATTTAATCCAACCCATTATTACACAGGCCCAGTGAAGGTCAGTAACCTGCCCAGCACCACACAGCAAATAAAAGATAGGGTTAAGACTGGCTAAGTCCCATACCAGGAATTTAACAAAGTGGAGTATTGGCTGCATGTAGAAGTTCTAATGAGTTGCCCTTAGACAAAGCTTCCATTAGTTTGGGATTTGGAGTTAAGAAGAAAACAGGATAGATAAAAGAGAAAGGGCAGGAGTCAACTGTTATTACCGGGATCGAACCAAAACTGGAATCATTGGGTAGCACCAGGAGTTGGCTCATGTGTTTCTGGTGAGTCTTTGTTCAATTTACCATTGAGAAGTCTGATTTCATCTGTAATCGAAACCTGTTTTGTGTACCTGTTGATAAATTTTCTGCAGTAAGAATATACTGTAGCTTGTTGAGGAGTTAATATACAACCTGGAATATTGTTGAATCCCACAGGAATGTTGAAACAATCTAAATGGAGTCGGATCTTTCTTTCTCAGACCTTCCCTTTTCTCACTGTTCTCTGTTCAACTGTAAATTTATTTGGAATTGGGGGTGGTAATTGCTATTTTGCATTTCACTGGTTTTTAGGTTTTATTTTTTTTAAGGACAATATTAAGGCAGTTTTTTTAATTAAAGTGATTTTTAGTGGTCATTTTGAATTTTAAAGATGAAGGACATTGAGGTACAAAAGGCAGCTTTGAAACTTACAGCAGAGCATGCTCCTTAGATGGATCTTTTGAATAAAAGAATCCCGTTGTGGATGGTGATGATGCACAGCTATTTAATGTATTCTGCATGCTCCGTGTATGGATGCAGGCCCCAAACTTTACAAAGGACATAATCATCTGCACAGCATCTCTGTTCTCCTATGGATTGGTCTTTTTGTAAAGCAGCCTTTTGGTTTTCTTAGTAAAACTATTTTATTTTAAATATATCTCTAGACACTTACTCCTGGTAGGCCTGGGGAAATGTAGATTACTTCATGTCTCCATAAAATTCCTTTCAAAGAAAAAGAGTCAAGCTCGATTTGCGTTTTCAAGATAAAGAAGAGGAATAAATAGGAGGAAGGAAGAAATCTTAACTTTGCTTCAAGGAGAGAAATCCTTTGAAGAAATCTTCAATCCTTTGTGGATACCATAGCTTCTGCATTAGTCATATGTCCCTTCCTCCTTGGTCCTGAGTGGACCAGAGGAATAGCAGCCATTTGCAAAGGGCAAAGAGAAGAAAACAGCTGATAAAGAGGAATGTAGGGCTCCCAAGCCCCCTAGGTTTTTACATTTGTATTTTTAGATCAGTCATTGGTTTCTGGGTATTTGATCTCCTATTTGTTGTTTTATTTCACTGTGTTTGTTATAAAATACAGTGTTAAATTTCTAGCCCCCAATTGTGAGATTGTATTCAAAGTCCAGTTTTTAAAAATGTTACAATGAAAGTCAACTACAATGGGAAGCTAGTAGACATAGTTAATACTGATATTGGAAGGCAAAACCTTTCCTCTGCCTTGGGTCTGAGTGGTAGAGGCCTGTGAACTAACTAGTGAGTGATACAGAGATTAACAGGAGGAAAGACAGTGTGGGAGCGCACAGTAATAAGCAACTCAACTCAGTTGCCAGAGGTAAAGGTTTGTTTACCAACTTAACATAAGAATTTAGGGCTTCAGGGGCGCCTGGGTGGCTCAGTTGGTTAAGCGACTGCCTTCAGCTCAGGTCATGATCCTGGAGTCCCAGGATCGAGTCCCGCATCGGGCTCCCTGCTCGGCAGGGAGTCTGCTTCTCCCTCTGACCCTCTTCCCTCTCGTGCTCTCTACCTCTCATTCTCTCTCTCAAATAAATAAAATCTTTAAAAAAAAAAAAAGAATTTAGGGCTTCAGGGTGCCTGGGTGGCTCAGTTGGTTAAGCGACTGCCTTCAGCTCAGGTCATGATCCTGGAGTCACTGGATCGAGTTCCGCATCGGGCTCCCTGCTCGGCAGGGAGTCTGCTTCTCCCTCTAACCCTCCCCCCTCTCATGTGCTCTCTCTCTCATTCTCTCTCTCTCAAATAAATAAAATGTTTAAAAAAAAAAGAATTTAGGACTTAAAAGGATGGAACGTTTTTGATGATGCTGGTTTATACAACTTGGTGTTTTCAGAATGTTCTAGAAGCCAAAGTCAGTCACTTTCCCTGACTAGAGACCCTGGGTTGGGGGGGGGGTGCCGTGCAGCTGACTTTCATAAACCTCTGCTTTAATCAGATAAAGGAAGTTTAGATAAGATTTTTTTCTGCATCTGCTACTGGGTTTTTTGTTTCTTCACTGATTTTTTTTTAAATTTGTTTATGGCTTGATGATTTACAAAGCATTTTCACATATCTCATTTGAGTCTCAGAGTATTTTTTAGGTAGAAGGGGCAAATATTATTCCCATGAATTTTACAGGTAAGAAAATTGAGATTAAGAGAGGTTAAGTATTTGTTCAGAGTCACACAAGTAATACGGAGCCAAGATAAGAGGTTATTCACATATCTCACCACACCTTTGGGGTCCAGTTTCAGTACTGACAAATTGAATAATGTCAATCTATAAGTGCTTTAAGGTGTCAAGATTTCAGTAACATTTTATTTGTTTTATAGGAGAAGATGGTGTAAGTTGGTTCATCAGTGACAAAGACGTGGAGGTAAAAAAAATTGTTTTTTGAAGTTATGAATAGTAGATTAATAAATTCCTTTGATTTGAAGTTTCCTTTCACTTCAGTATGATAACTTAATAAACTTTTTAGAGACAGCAGTGGTCCAAGTATGTTGTAAGAAAAAGTTTGATTTCAGTATATGGTGATTGAATTTGTCAGAAGTGTGGTTCAGCCTTGATTTTTGTCAGTCTGTTAATTGCCATAATGATTTAGTCCCCTTTCCCTTCTGTTTCTTCTCTGCCATGGTGAGTCCTCTCAGCCCATATTGCCTGGTACCACTAAAGATCAACACCGGAAATAACTGCTTCTTCAGTGTAAGGAAATGGTTAGTCTATATTTAGGATGTGGCAGGTGTTTGTCTTTGTCAATTATTAGCCTTAATTGTGACAGATGGTTAGAAAAAATAATTTTACAACTTAGTAAAAAAGTTTTAAGAGATAATTAGATTGTGTCTACATGGGGCCTACCTGGTTAATCCAGAATAACAAGTAAAAGATGAAAAGCTTTTTCAAAGATGAAATTCTACCCAACAAGGTAAAAGCATGGTTGGCATTTACATATTCCCCTTTAGGTATTCCATATGATATGTTTTGCTAATATTCTTTTGCAAGACACTAGATTTTGGCTAGAATATGGGAGAACTAGAATTGGGTTACTGTAGGCAGAATAGATCTTAAAAGTACTCTATTGGAAGGAAATTATCTCATTGTCTCTCAGAAATTATAATCCAGTTTATAGGCAGTAACCCTGAGCTGTTCAAAAGAGAGAATGGGTTTGGTCATTACGTGGGTTTTATAACTTTAAAGACAAAAAAACATTTTAAAAAATCCCTTAGGTAAAAATTTAAGCAAGTTTCTCATTCAGAAAAATATGATATACATTCATATATAGAAATCAGCAATATCTTTGGCTCTGAATATCACCAGAATGTCTAAATGATGCCTATCAGTACACCTACTGGACCTCAACTGTAAGTAGAGAAAGATACAAAAGAAATGGAACCATATGGAGAAGTGTAAAAGAATGGGGTGGGGGGACAGACAAGAAGTAGAGTTGTCTTCATGGCAACCCCTTTTAAGTTTTTCTAACTTCTTTTAAGAACACAAAAGTTCCCTGTTGCTGGGTTCTGTAGATCAAATAGACTATAGCTGTTAATTCTTTTGAACAGAGTGAAATATTTTTTTTAATTATTGATTTTTTTCCCCCTTAGGCCCAGATAGTTAATAATAGATCATCTGGAAGATGGACCCACCGATACTATTCAGCCAACAAAAATGTTACCTGTAGAAATTGTGACAAATGTGGCCATTTATCGAAAAACTGCCCCTTTCCACAAGTATGTGAAATACATAATGTTTCTTTCCTCATTGTTAAAAATCAAAATCTTAAGAATTCAAATCTTGCATAATATGTGTGTAGATTTCACATTACATTTTCATGTGGGTCACAGCCTAGAATAGTAGCAGAGAAGGAGCAATGAAGTTAAGTCAGAAAAACCTGGAATCAATTTAGCTCTCCATTGGTAGTTGCACAACCTTAGGCAAAACATTTCACCCTCTATGCCTCTGTTTTCTTGTCTATAAAATGAGATTAAATCGAATGATTCCTAAGACCCCTCTCACTTCCAAACCTACTTTATGAGACAGCTTTCTCTCTTTTTTTTTTAAGATTTTATTTATTTATTTGACAGAGACACAGTGAGAGAGGAAACATTAAGCATGGGGAGTGGGAGAAGGAGAAGGAGAAACAGACTTCCCGCTGAGCAGGTAGCCTGATGCAGGGCTCAGTCCCAGGACCCGGGGATCATGACCTGAGCCGAAGGCAGACACTTAATGACTGAGCCACCCAGGTGCCCTGAGACAGCGTTTTCATTGTGGGGTAATTTTCATTGTTAGAAAGTTATCATTTTAAGCATTTATCTATGTTTATTATGTAAATTACATTAAACAGATACATCAACCTTTGGAACAACACAGAACTCAAGTTCTTAGATGTTCCCTGACACATAGTAAGCCCTCAAGAAACATTCCTTCCATTTACCTACTCCTTCTTCCAAATGATTGTCTTTCGGATGTTTGAGACAGCTCTTAGGTTTCCTCTTTGTCTTTGGTCCTCCAGGCAAAGCAGCCTCTTTCAGTATCTGTTCCTCCTATGACTTAGCTTTCAGATCCTCAACTTTCCCCAGGCACAATCCACTTTGTCAATGTTCCTACAAGATGAGGCATAAGAAGTAGGTGCCAGTTAATAGTACATGCACAATGAGCCTTTTTAGCAACCACAGGATACAGATAGCTTGTGTTAAAGCTCTGATTTCAGACATTTTGTTTGATTTTACAGTTACAGTCAAGATTTGACCTTCATTGGGGTCTCAAAATGGAAATAAATTTTATGGAATTATACAGAAAAAGAAAATCTTATTTGAGATCAAACTATTTTGCTAAAGAGGTTTTCTGTTTGCCACCTAGAAAGTCCGCCCCTGCTGTCTCTGTTCTGAGAGAGGACACCTCCAATATGCCTGCCCGGCCCGCTTTTGCTTAGGCTGTTCTTTGCCTATGTCTTCCACTCACAGATGTCTTGAAAGGCCTTCCTGGAGAAAACGATGTGACCGATGTGATATGATAGGCCACTATGCTGATGTGAGTATCCTGCATATAACTGATTTGTCGGACTTTGGGGGCAGTGTGCCAATTTGTAACTATCAGTCATCCTACCTAAAAGAATGTTTATTCGATACCATATGTGATGATAGCCATGTCCCTTTGGCTACTGATCATCTAAAGCAATGTTCTAATAGGGATCCTACTGAATGGTTCATCAGGAGGCAGCATCAAGAAATATTGTAAACCTATGCTTGCCTCCTTTGCTTAATATGCTTGCCAAGTAAAGGTTTGAAATAAAAGAGGTATGTAATTAATAACATGTAAAATTTATGTACCTATTCATTCATAGTTAGATGAAAATATATACCTACTTAGCAGTTGTATACAAAGGTCTATATGAAGCCTGGCTTGATGCTGCTTATTGATGACTCTTGCTGATATAATAGCCTTAAGCAAGAAGGACAAAACCACCAATACTTTAGATCTGCTTATCTTAGTTCACTTTTTAGATTTAAAAAAAAGTAATTTAGAAGACATTCAGTTACCTATAGCACATTAAATTTTAGCGCATTATTTTGGACATCATTTTGCATCATATGGAGTTTTAGTCAAAATTTCAAAGACCAGAAGGGCTGTAGAAGTTTTGTTTTTTTTTTTTTTAAGTAAGAATCTTTTCTTTTTAATTTATACTTCACAAAGACATGATACAAAGCACAAACATTTTTCTAATTTTATTTATATTGGAGTATACCTATAACCTTTTGCCTAAAGAGTGATATGGCTTTCTACTGAGATGAATTTCAGGTTAAAACATTACTAGAATATGAATGTTTGGTATATATGTCTCTCATGTAAATATATCAACTACTGATTATAATTTTTAAAGTGTCTTTTTAAACAAATAAAAGATGAGGTCACTGTCTATACATTGTTCTACAATTTGACTTTTTTCTCCTTAATTCCTTATGAATGCATATCTCTGCATTAGCTCATATCTACCTGTCAAAGGCTTTTACTCCACTTACCAGTTTACCCAGCATTTTCTCTACCGATGCATCTATATTTATAGTTACAGCCCATTTTTAAAGCAAACAGTGCTACAATAAATATCTTTATGTGTGTGTATGTGTATAAGATTATTTCAGTAAGTCAGATTCTAAGTGGGATTGTGTAATTAAAGAATATATACATTTATATCCGGATAAATATTGTCCAGTTGCTCTTCTAAAAGGTGGTACCAGTGGGGGCACCTGACTGGCTCAGTCAGTAGAGCATGGCAACTCTTGATCTCGGGGGTTGTAAGTTAAAGCCCCACGTTGGGTGTAGAGATTACTTAAAAATAAAACCTTAAATAAATAAATAGTACCAATATATCCGCCTGCCAAATGTGTTTAAGAGTGCTCTCAACAGGGGCACCTGAGTGGCTTAGTTGGTTATGCATCTGCCTTTGGCTCAGGTCATGGTCTCAGGGTCCTAGGATTAAGCCCTGTAGGGCTCCCTGCTCAGCAGGGAGTCTGCTTCTCTCTCTCTCCCTCTGCTCGTGCTCCCTCTGGAGCATACTCTCTCAAATACATAAATAAAATCTTTTTTCCCCCCCCAAAAAAGAGTGCTCTAAACACTATAATCAATCTTTTAAAATTTTGGCCAATCAGATAAGGAGAAAATGATATCTTACTGTTTTTATTTGTATTTCCTTTTTTTTTTTAAAGATTTTATTTATTTATTTGACAGAGAGAGACACAGCGAGAGAGGGAACACAAGCAGGGGGAGTGGGAGAGGGAGAAGCAGGCCTCCTGCGTAGCAGGGAGCCCGATGCGGGTTTCAATCCCAGGACCCTGGGATCATGACCTGAGCCAAAGGCAGACGCCTAACGACTGAGCCACCCAGGCGCCCCTTTATTTGTATTTCTTAGGCCACTAGTGACATTGAATGTGATTCTCAAGACTAGGTGTGGAGATAGAAGTTGTTATTTCTTTCCAAAGTAGCTTAAACTGGGGCACCTGGCTGGCTCAGTTGGTAGAACATGTGACTCTTGATCTTGGGGTTGTGTGTTCAAGCCCCATACTGGGTGTATAGATTACTCAAAAAAATAAAATCTTTAAAAAAAAAAGTAGTTTTTTGGGACATCTGGGTGGCTCAGTCGGTTAAGCATCCAACTCTTCATTTTGGCTCAGGTCAGGTTGTGAAATCAAGCCTCGCGTTGGGCTCTGGGCTCAGCACAGAGTCTGCTTGAGATTCTCTGCCTCTGCCCGCCCCCCCCCCCCCCCCCCCCCGCTCACGCTTGCTCGATCTCTCTCTTACTCTCTCCCAAATAAGTAAATAAAATCTTTTTTTTAAAGTAGCTTAAACTTACTTTTTAATATTTACTGTCTTAAAAGTAAAAATCCTAAGTTGGCTTAGTTTTATACTACTGTTCTCTGCATTACATTGTCAATTATAATTTTTTTTTTGGCAGATTTTCTAGTTTGGCAGTTACATTTAATAGCATATTTCTTTACTCCTTTCTTCTGAAAAGCTCTTACAAATATGGTCTTATTTGCCTGTGAGAACAGAAGGATCTCAGACATTATCATGAGCAGTTTTTTTTTTAATAAGAAAATGTAGTACAGAACAGTTAAGAATGATTTGTAAAAGGTTATATAATCAGCTGTGAATTAAATCTGTAGTCCATTCTGCTTAACTGCTTAATTTTGGCCTCGAATGTATGTTAAACTCTTTATCTAAAATGGCTTTGAGGATTAATAACCCTATGAATGTTACGTTTTTAAGATAGGGTTAGGCTATGGCTAACTTCAGAGAAGGCAGCACCCTTTCCCCTAAATCTGCCAAGATCTAACTGTTGGGGTTTTTTGTAATTACATGGTGAAGGTTCTGGACACTAATTGATCTTTTTCTAGACTGCCCACCTTGTATAAGATTCCCCTGGAGCCCAAACAAATCTGGACTTCACTGACTCCATCTGAAGAAACTTAAAGTCCTTCCACCATCCCAGAAGCGCTTCATGAGGATTCACTTGGAAGCAGAGTCATTCTGGCCTTAGGTTGCTGGAACTATTCATCCAGTCCCATACATGCTTTAAATTTGTCTTGAAACCTGGGCCTCCACAAAAAACAGTGTTTCCCCTGCAACCCTCTCAAATGCTTGCTGCTCATTCTTTCTTGACTCACATATCTGAATTAGGTTGAGTAGGATTAAACTCTTACTCACTGTGGCTGCTTCTAAGTCATTACTCCTCCTTCTTTATGTAGATACTTTCGGCTTATTTAAGGCCCATACCTCTGACAGTACTGTTCTCCCTTCTTTGTCATTTTCATCTTCCCACCTGCTGGACTTGTTACTCGTTCACAGAGGATTACTGAAGACCTGGGTAATTATAAATGCCCTACCTTCTTGTCAGTTAAAGAGATTAAGAAACTTCCATTTACTTTATACATCCCTGTAACCACAGCACTGATCTCTGTCATGCCAGAGTACCAGTTATTGTGCAAAGAGAATCTGTAATGAAAACTGACGAGTCATATTCATATTCTTGCTGTAATGAAAGACTTTTCCTGAACTCTGCTTGGGAAAAAGCCTCATACGTTAACTACTGCATAAAAGTAATTTGGTTCAAATTCCAGAGTTTTACAATGTAAAGGATAGAAAACCTGTATCATTGATACCTTCCAAAGGAAAAGAATCTGCAGTTTGGAAAGAATTCTAATTCTGAGTCTGCCACAGATTCTCTCCTCTTGTCAACAATTTTTTAAATAGAAAATTTTATTTTTTATTTTTTAAAAATATTTCAGAGAGAGAGAGAGAGTGCACGTGGGAGGGAGAAGGAGAGAAGCAGACTTCCCACTGAGCATAGAGCTGAATGCAGGCTCGATCTCACTCACAACCCCTGAGATCATGACCGGAGCCAAAATCAGGAGTCAACTAACTGAACCACCCAGGCACCCCTTAAATATACAGAAAATTTTAAACTGTGTGAGCAAATCTTGTACACATAATCCCATTCTGTAAGGTATATCTGACATTTCCAAGATAATAATAGCTATAGTTGATTACTTACAGTGTTTCAAGCACTGCTAAATGGATTACTAACTAGGAAGGGGGAGTGCTTTGTTCACTGCTGTATCCTCAGCACATAATGGGTGTTCTGTAGATATTTGTGATTGTGTCATTTATGTAATCCTCACAATTACCATATGATAGATACTGTTTAATGTTCCAATTTTACAAAGAAGAAAACTGAGGGGCGCCTGGGTGGTGCAGTTAGTTAAACGTCCCACTCATGGTTTCAGCTCAGATCGTGAGATCGAGCCTTGTGTCTGGCTTTATCCCACAACCCCAAGATCATGACTTGAGCCAAAATCAAGAGCCAGCCACCCAATGAACTAAGCCACCCAGATGCCCTAATGTGATTTTTTTTTTTTTTAAGATTTAAGATCTTATAGTTATCACTTCATGCTCTTCATATAAAGAGTGAACAGTTATTGAATATTGTTTTTGTCCAGGTAATTATTTAAGAAAAAGGCATTTATTTTTATCAGCTCCAAGGAACACAGAATGGTATTCATATGCCTTTTGCCTCTTACCCTTTCCCTAGTCTTATTGAGACACTACTGGCCAGAAATAAGACTGGCTGAAACACAATTATTGAGCTCAATAATTGAGCCAAGTTTTGAAATTAAAGACTTCCTTAATTCAGATATTTTGTTTTGTATAATAGTGATTAGTTCTACTTTTGTTCAAAAACATCGCCACTGTTGAATCGCCCAAATACACTTTTTATATTTGTTTATCAAAAATTTGCTGATTGCCTACTATATGCCAGGCAATATTCCAAGTACTAAAGAAATAAAGATGAGTAAGACATGGTCCCTGCCTTTGAGTAGCTCAGAGTATAAGAAAGGCAGACATGGGAAAGAACAGTGTAAAAGTGAGGTGATGGGGACGACTGGGTGGCTCAGTTGGTTGAGTCTCTGCCTTCGGCTCAGGTCATAGATCCCAGAGTCCTGGAATCAAGTCCCACATCAGGCTCCTTGCTTAGT